CAATAGTAATTTGAAATCATTTTTTCGATTTTTTATTTACCGACTACCTACAAACTACCTCAAATTAACGAGGGAAAAATTGTTGCTGATGTCACACCCCCGCCGGGAATCGAACCCGAGACCTTTGGCTTTACGCACCAATGTTCAATGAACAAAGGTCCCGGGTTCGATCCCCGGCGGGGGTGTGACAACAGCAACAATTTTTTCCCTCTTTAATTTGAGGTAGTTTGTAGTGGGTAAATAAAAAATCGAAAAAATTATTTCAAATCAATATTTTGAATTAGCTGATTCAAATTTGAATGTCTTTTGGATTTAACTAAAAGACAAATTCCCTGCAGTCATTGAAAGGACTATTGCGATTCTGTTTTCGTTTGTATCGATTTACAGTTGCTAAACGAGTTTTTACGCTTACACTAAAAACAAATTCAGAACTAAACTTGATTCCACTGTGTATTCATTTTTGGACATAAACCTAATTTTAATCCTATTGTAAATAAAAATGTGCAAAATCTTCATCATATTAGATGAATCCAAAATTCAAATTGAAGAGTTCAACATGTAAGTACCACATGCTAGAGTCATATGTCTTAAACATAAAACTATTGTCAATTTACTTTTTTTTGTCGAGATGGGTCAATAAGAGTTCCATAGCCAAAAAAAATAGGAATCGCTGATCTAGACCGGGAATGTTAGAAATATGAGTAGAAATGCATACGTGACTTGCTTAATGTACAGCGAACCGCATCACCAAGTTGTGCTCGTTCGTATACTGCCTAGTATGGCAAGGAGATTTTGTTTACCTTCTGAGTTTGACAACTAACTGAACATATGGAAATTGATGCGCAATGTTTTGTATCCTCTATTAGTAATGATGTTTTTCACACTTGTTCGTTGGGCGTTATGTTTTCGCTCCTAAATCTTCTCTTCCTGATCTAGACATTTACAAATAATCGTTTTATTTAACCAAACAATGAAACTACATAAATGCAGAACAGAAAATAAAATACATAGGTACAGGCCTGACGCTCGAAACTGGCGGAAATTTTATTTTTTTATTTTAAGCAGGGATCAGTTTACAAAATTAAATTAAAAAAATTAACTTATTCGATTGGTTTTCTTGTTGTACATATTTAAAGTTTATTTAAAAAAGAAACAGTCGCAATAATTGAGTTTACCGTGATTTAATTAAATTTTATGTTAGATAATGAGCATGTAATAGATATACAAACAGAAGAACTAATTGTTAAATAATTGTGAAATTGTTATGCTCGGTGAACATTTCGCCTTACCTGTATGTGCCTACTCATTTTTTTTAACTTACACCTTCCGAATTCAATGTTTACACCTGTGTGCTTTGGTTTTTTAAAATCATAACCAAAACATACTTTTTGAGTTAGGTCACATTGCGGTTGGGTAGTTTTCTTTAGTTTTTATTCATTTTATTAATAAGGTTCTTCCTCAAAGACAATAAGATTGTAAGGTTTAACACACATTGTTGCTTATAATTTGAATTATACACTTAACCAAATCTATAATTTTATGTTCTTATACAGTAGAACCTCTATAACTCGAACATCAAGGGAGACGCCAAAAAATTCGAGTTGTAAAGTTTTCGACTTAACTTACCTTTGAAGTCGAAAACTTAGTTTTTTTCTAACTATAGACGTAATATGTTTCAAATTATCGAGTTGTAAAAATAAAATATTCTTATGTTCGAGATCGAGAGGTCTAATTTAATTTTTCGAGTTATAAAGGGAAAATATGTACCAAAATGACTTGCAGAGACTCATTGATTATTTCGACTAATAGAGAATTGAAATTTAGAGTAATGGAGGTTTTGAGGCTTGAAGGAAAAGGAATAAAACATTTTTTCGAGTTTTGGAGGTTTTCGACTTATGGAGGTTCAACTTAAAGAGGTTCTACTGTATTATGAATTCGGATATTTTCGGTTTGTGAAATCGATTCAAAACTATATCTAATTTATAAATTTTTTAAAATACTGTTGCTACCTTTGTCTTTCCTTTTTCTTCT